CTGAGTTTGGGGTTTCGGGGGCTATCTCCCATCTCATTACCATCCCCAAAAGGTCAACATCTGAGACGTTGGATTTCCAGAAGAGTGCCTCGACCGCTGTTCCTTCCCACCTCCAACGCATTTGTTGGTGCATGACAAGTTAGGCGCCTGAACCCAATCATTGCAACCAAAACTGTGTGGCTGAAACTTCGTGAGAAGTTTGACCCAGCAATCCTCAAGAGCTTTCACGGTTGGCAGGGAGGTAGCACCTCACAGCAATTGATTGCGGGAAGAAAGGCTGTACTATGCAGGCTTACACACGTGCCAACGCGTGTGGATTGCTTCAGTGGGAGCTATTATTGGTAGAGATTGGGGTTCACTAAAGTGTGCAGCAGATGGGGAACAGGGAAGCCACTGGTTGTATCGGTTGTCCGATTGTGTTGCAGCGGTGAGTTGTTTGTTTCATGTTTGTGTTCACCAGACCATCTTCTTTCACAGTCTCACCCAGAGGTCTTCTTTTCGTCAAAGAAACCCATGTACTGTGTGGCTCTCCAGGGTAACTCCCCCTTCAGAGGGGGCTGCCACCCACGCCGTCCACGGTCGGTCACGGCCCGGTACGTTGGGTTCGGCACGGTCGGTTCACCGGTAGGGTGGGCAGAATCTATTGGTCTCATCCATGTTCTGGTCTAATCCACGTTAACTGTGAGGCCCAGGTTGAGGCCCAGGTTGACCCACAAATACCGCTGGATTGAGACCGTGAGTTTTGCTAGGAAGATACGGCCGCGCACAGACCAGTTTTACGACGGTTTTGGCACCCTGGGGTGGCACGGATTCAGACTCAGAGAGTTCATGATTGAAAGGATCTGAAAGGACTTCTCGGGAGGTCAGGAGGTTCTCACAACTTCCCCCAGAGGCTCCATGTGGACAAAACTCGACCTACTGAGGTGGTCGCTACAATCACTGCAAGGTTGTGAACTTCAAGCCACATGATGACAAAATCTAATCCCAGCTCTCCGATTGTCATTTGACC